TTACTGGCACAACTCTGTCCTCTCCTTATAATTAAAATATTTAAGTGCATGTAAAATGTGCATCTTAACATGATTTTTGGTAAGTTGCCTCCTTGATTTTGCTAAGTTCAGACCTCTGTCCTTGCCAGCGCTCTGCCCCGGCGTCTCTTCTGGGAGCCGCTCTCCTTTAACACCAGCCCCAGAGCCACTGGCCCTGAACAGAAAACTTCCCAGAGCAGAAAGGGGCAAAGCTTGATCTCTCAGGCCTCACTCATCATGGTTTTCCATCTTTCTCTTCCTTGCTTGGCCCCCTCCCACCTGACTCACGTTGTCTGCTTGTTCATTCGCTTGTTGAAGAAACATTTACTTAAGTATTTACTACCAATCAATGGAGAACCACTCAAGTTTAGAGAAAACATATTCACAAATATGATGCAGGCAGCAGATAGAGGTCATAAACTAGATGTCTATGGGTCATACTCAGCCTACAGATGTTTTATTTATCACAGTATTTAAGGTTTTAAAAAAATACAGTTGACAGTATTTGAAAATTGGGCTGTTTCCCATAAAACCCAGATGTTGGAATTGGGGATCCTGGCCTGAATCTCTGCATCATCACCTCGGCCAGGCATGGGGCGGAGGCTAAAGACATAGAAACCTCCATCCTTGAAGGTCTTTCTTGCTGAGGTGTCGAATTTCTGATAGCTACTTGGAGCCCTAAGGAGATTTTAACGTGAAGTCATGTGATCAGCTTTGCACCTTGAAGGAGGCTTGAGGAATCCTTTGGAGGGACCAGTCCAGAGGTAGGGAGGTCTCTAAGAGCTGTTGCAGTACGTCAGGCAGGAGCTGAACAAAGGCACTGCACCAGGGCCCAGAGGTGCAGACTAATTGGGGATCCATGGAGGAGTGGAAGTTAGTGCTGACTGAGGCAGGAGTGGTGTCCAGAGGAGGGAGGCGTCTCCTGTTGGCTCCTGGAGTGCCAGTGGGGCTGCCCTTGCACGTGAGTAGGGCTTTGCTAGTCTGTGACTTGCTTGAAGGTCTGTGCAGTTCGTTCGCATTTGTGCGTTTTTCTGGGTTGAACGGCCAACGTCAGGGTCCCTGGTTGTAAGCAACAGAATCCAAATGTGACCCCTTTAGGTAGAATAGGTCGGAAGGCTGGGAAGTCTGGAGAACCAGATTTAGGCTACCTGCCAGGAGCAGATCCTAGAACTGGTCTGGTGAGAGCATTTCTGCGGCTGCCCCAAGATGCTACTGCTGCTGCCAGTGGGTCCTGCATGTTCCACCTGCCCTGCTGCAAGAGAGGATGCTCTGAGTTGTCTCTGGATTCGTCTGGAGGAGCTGTGGAGACGTGTTGCACTTATGTCCCATGTCCCTGCTGTAGCAGGAAGGCAAATGGGAGTGAGCATCTTATGTAGGAAGAGCTGGGCTCTGCTTCTCACGAAGACTCCAGAGTGGGGATGGGGATTCTCCAAACACAGGAAAGGGCTTCGGAGGCTAGGAAACCAATAAAATAACTGTCAATTACAGGGTTTATAATTTTCAAACATACCCATGGGATGAGGGACCCCAAAGAGTGAGCATCTCTTCCCTGTTTAGAGAGAGTATTGGGAGCAGAGCAGGTGATACTCCAAGGTGGAACCAGGAGGGGATATTGGGAAAATAGGCGTTATCTGACTTGACTGGAGATTGAAGAGAAGTGGGGAATCCTTTAGAGGTAAGAAGCCATGTTGAAATTCTCGGCTCATTTTCAGTTTTGGCCTTCATTTTCTTGGGAAACGGTTTGCCAACAAACATTTTGACCTAGAAAATGACCCAATGAGAATATGGCTTTCAGAAATTAATTTGATGAGACAGAGAAGTTCAGTGGCTACTGCTCTAGCCTGTGAGGTTCTGCACTGGGACCCTTGGCCTCACAACCAAGGGGCAAGGGCCGTGATGGGACTTGGTAGCTCACTGAGAGCTACCAAGGGGAGCGGTAGCTGGGAGGGGGCTCCACGTTTTTCATTGTGGGTGATGGGGAGAAGGTGACACCGTGAGGGGACAGGTGGGATCAATAGTGGGGGTGGGAGGATAATGGGGTGCAGGGTGTGGAAGACGCCCTGGAGGTGAGTTCCAAAGGATGGATTCAAGGAACATACAATCAGTTCGAGAGCAGTAGAACCCAGAGATGAGCTAATCTCATGCCCCTGTTTTATTTTATTTGAAAATAATATGAAATATATTCACTTATGTTTAGTAGAGAAGGTAGCAGAAGTACAAAGAAGAAAAGCAAACATGGGCCATAATCTTTGCCCCAAATAACCCCACTTGACTTTCTGGAAAAACTAAGTTGAAGTAATGATGTGCACGATATGGAAAAGTGCTGACGGAAATCTAGAAGTGGTCTTTCCAGACCTCCCAGCCCCCCAGGTTCCCCTTCCAGAGGCGAGCACAATAAGGAGAGCATTCCTTTATATTTGTCATGATCTTCCCCAGATACAGTAGACAAAAATACTTGTCTCTAACAGCCACACACACCTAGCATCTCAGTGGCACTTAACCTAGAGCCTGAACACTTGCAGCGGCTGCCCCTCCTCTGCCCCTTCCGTCTCGCCTCCTTCACGCTTGCTCCCAGGAGAGACGGGCCTTCCTTCTCAGGGCTGGCTGTCTCCACCAACCCCTGCCTGTCCTGCCTCTCTCACAGCCTGCTTCTTTTAGACATCAGGGCCCCTGAGTGTCATCGCCTCCTGAAGGTCCTCGGGGACCCCAGAGTGGTCAAGGTGCCTCTTCCCTCCCTAGGCAAACAACTCAGCAAGGGAAGTGGGACACTGGCAGGGCCATGTCTCTCGGTCACACTGTATCCCGAGTGCCCAGAGGGTACCCGTGTGTGACAGGAACTCAGGAAACCATTCAGCCACTGTGATGCATTCTGCGACTTTGGGGAAGCAAACGTGCTCCATGACTGTGTTCTGGTCCATTGTAACTGTCAGCTGTATGAATTGGGAGACTGCTGTGGTCAGTGTTAGGAAAGAAAAATAATTTTGACACATTGCAAATGGCAAGGATGATTCTATTCAAGACCATTACAAGTGGGAGATGGAGCTCCACTCCCAGTGCAACCGGGGCAGGTGAGGGAGTGGGTGGAAATCACTGATGGAGCTTGATCAGATGCCAAGGGTGGAGGAGGAGGGGCTTGACTGGTACCAAGAGCGGGTGGGCGCTCGACACCTGGCTCAGCAGGGTTCTTGGCTAAATCTGGCCAAGGACCAGCCAGGTGGAGAAGACTCGAAGTTCGGTCAGGGAGGAAGTCTGTCCCCATCAGCCAGAGGAGCTGGGTGATGATTCTGCCCTTGAGTATCTAATAAAGATAGGAGAGACCCTGGAGAACCGCAGATGACACGTGAAAAAGCTCTGTGCAGGCAAGAGCTGCCAGAGATCGTCCGTTCGAGGCGTCTCCCAGGTGAACTTGCATTGTTCTTACGTTGTTTTAAAACAGGAATGGTGAACTATTTACTCCACCCTTCCTCCCAGGAGAATCCCAAAGACTGATTATGTTTCAAGAAAGAGCTGTCAAGTGTTTTAGTTCCTTGGCAGTTTCCCATCTCCTGCTTCCAGGGCTAACCCTGCCCGCCCCAGTGCTGTGACTCTCTCAGTCCCCTGGGGCACTCTCCAAGCCAGTTTTGCCTCCCAGGGTATTGAGTCAGCCAGAGTGACCACATGTCTCCGTGACGACGATGTCACTTCTGGATTTTGCCTTTTGTCCTAGATTATTAATAGTACCTCTTCTCACTCTCACAAGTGTCCTATTCTGGTCGATTCGTTCCTTGGTCCCCATGACAGACGCTGACCCTGGACCCAGTACTGCTGTGTCCCAGTAGATCCCCACAGTGACTTTTTAGCAGGCAGCTGGTTGTCAGGAAGATGCTTGAAGGAATCCAAGCACGTGAAGGACGTTACTGCCTGCTGCTTTCAGCTTTCTTAGTGGAAGTGGAAAAAAACAATAGGGAGTGTGAAGCAGATGGGGCTGAGAGGTGTGTGTAGCAGTGGTGCTGATGAGGGTGTCGCCAGGGCACCAGGGGTTGCAGTGAAGTGTCACCAAGGCCAGTGTGCTGTATGCACTTGGAAGTCATATAGGTGGTGTAGCTTCCAAAGCAGTGTCCGTATTGGATTTCAGAGCTTCCATACAGAGTGTTGGCAGGACAGGAATTAGCTTCGTGTTTTGCAAAGTGGGGGGTGCTTTAGGGTGAGAATTACAGTCACCCATTCCCATCTCAGGTCTACTGGATCATTCTGTGTGGAGCCTGGGGCTGGGGGCTCCCCAGAAACCTGAAATTTTAATAGATTCCGCTGATCCTGGTGGATATTCGGGCTTGAGAACCACTGCCTTAGAAGTAGACGTTTTGCAGCAAATGTGTGTTCTTATTAACGTGCACGTTTAGACAGTTCTTTCATTCATTTAGCAACTCTTTATTGAATGGTAATCACGGGCCAGGCCCTGGGCCAGGAGCTGGGTGTGCAGCCCAGCAGAGGGGACAGACCTCCACCTAGTAACGTCCATGACAGCATCACTGCAAGGGGAAGATGGTGGGCGCTGAAGCAGGGGTCACCCCAGACGCAGGGCTCAGGACAGGCCTCCCCAGGGCATGAGTCGGAGCTGGGGCCTGAAGGATAGCGAGAGCGGGAGTAGAGCTGCTACCTGGCTGCGGAACGGCATGTGCGAAGCCTCAGACTACAGAGGGCGGGTTTGCTGGAGCTGAGAGAGAAGTGGGAGAGGAGGAATTGGGGGGCGGGCAGGCAGGACGGGTGGAGGGGATGCTGGCGGCGCTTGGTTTGGGGCTGGACTCAGAAAGCCAATGAGCACTGCGAGCCCTGGAGACAAGGATGCTTGTCAACCGTGCTGTCCACCTGGGAAGGTGCTGGGAGGTGGGTGTGGTAGGAACAGGCCTGGGCTACGCTCCCACCTCCAGGAGGGCCCTGCCTCGTGCCAGATGCCGTCAGCCGCGGGCCTATAACACTCGCGTCTGGTCTGTGTCTCCCCCTAGATCCTGCCTGGCCTGTATATCGGCAACTTCAAAGGTGAGTTCTCCTTTTTTATTATTGTGGTAAAATATGCAAACTATTAAATATGCCATTTTAACCTCTTTTTAAGCGTGCAGATCAGTGGCATTAAGTACATTCACACCATTGTGCAGCCGTCACCACCATCCGTCCACAGAACTCTCATTTTCCCAACTGAATCTGTCTCCATTGGACACTAACTCCCCATCCCCCAACCCAGCCCCTGGAAACCACACCTCTCCTTTCTGTCTATGAATCTGATGGCTCTGGGGACCTCGTATGAGTGGAGTCATGCAGTATTAGTCCTTTTGTGACTGACTTATTTCACTGGGCATAACAAGGTTGATTTACTTTTGTAGCCTGCGTCAGAATTTCCTTCCTGTTTAAGGCTGAATAACGTTCCAGTGTGTGGATGAACCACACTGTGTTTGTCCATCACCTGTGGACGGACACTTGGACGCCCCTGCTAGTGGTGAGTTCACTGTTTTAAAGATTACCTTTAGGCTCTCACGCATGATGGAGTCCAGGTGTAGACGTCAGTTCATCCAGAGTCTGCTCTGGACGTGGCCACCACTGTGCTCTGGTCCTTGTACCCCGACACCTTGGCCAATGGCTGGCAGAGTGGCGTGGAGCCCTGCAGATTCCACCTTGACCTCTGACCTTCTTTTTAACTCTGCACGCTTGCTGGAGCTTTATTATCAAAAGAAGATGGCTAAGAGGCACGTTTAGCAGCCATGTAACTTGTTTGTCATCTTTATCACTTTTATTTTCTAGTTATTAATAAATTTTCAGAAACCCATTTTTTTAATTACCTGGGGAAAACAAGTGGCAGTTTCATCTCTAGCAGATTATTCTTATCCTGTGTTGACTTTTCTGCTTACACATGTCTCTGCAACTTGTTGAATATTTGTTGATATGCTGTCTGCTACTGACCTTTTATTTTTAGCTCGTTTGTCTCAAAATGCTCTGTAGATGCAAAGGTGAGTAGCAACCCACAGAGAAAAGTGCATGTGGAGGGGAGGGGCTGGTCCCCACCTTGTGAGGCATTTGAGTGTGTGTGATGGGGAGCCCGGTCTCCCTCGCGCTGGAGATGGACTGTGCGTCATCCATGGACTTGGCCCAGGACACGTGCAGAAACAAGCCTCCTGTTTTGATGGTGAGGGCCCTCCTCACCATGCCTCGCTCCCCAGACAAACAAGAACACACTCCTGTCTGTTTTCTGGTTGTTGCTTAAATCTGTGAGCTCATGTTCACATCGATTGTTAAAACGGTCTCAATGACTTCTCTGCGTGATATTCATTTCCTTTCCCCCCTGGGCTCCGAGGGCAGCTAACTGGCCTCAAAGAGAATTCAGCACAGTGAGCTGACAGCTGCTAATTGCTGCTAGAACATGTTAAAAATAGTCCTGGAGTTCCTAAATTAGTAAGCTCTGTAGTTCTGAAAAAGCAGCAGTGCTTTGTGGCAGGTAGGGGAGTGGTGCTAGAATGCATGAACATCTTTATGGTTATTTAGTGAATTATTATTAACGCTTTCATGGGGAGAGGGGAATGTCTTTGTTTTTGAAAACAACAGAATTTAGGATAAATTCTTGGAAGTAGAATTGCTGGGTGAATATTTTTACAAATCAAAAATTGTAATAAATACCAAGCAAATTCAATACTCCTGCCAAAAGTTTCCATCACGGTCACAGATGGTGCCAGGCGGCTGCTTGCCAGACTTCGGTTTGAGCAGCAGAGGACTAAGTTCTCCTAAGATTTCGTGCTCGGGAAGAGCTTGTGCACGTGCAGGTGGGCTAGCTGATGACCCCACGGCAGACCTTCCAGCTGCATTCACACCGTTACCACGGTGCCCATGGCTCTAGGCAGCCATCCACCAATAACATGTAGTCCTGAAGAATAAATGTCATCATTCCAATAGTGTTGGCTGAGCACTCATGCACGTAAATGGGTGGACAGAGCCTGTGCTTATGGGAAAAGTAATCCGAAGGTGGCGTATGCATGCGGACGGACGGCGTATGCATGCGGACGGATGGCGCTGCAAGAGAATAGAAAGGAGCGCAGAGCAGAAGCGGCACAAGCATCCCCAGGAGTCACTTCTGTTTTCTCTGGGGCCCGACAGTCAGTTTTCTCATCTGTGGTATCAAGGGTGGTTGTATTCGAAAACAATTTTATCCCCAAACCACCTTTTTTGTTGTTGTTTTATCTTAATCTGTGTTACAAAAGTATATTTATGGGGTGATGAAAATACTCTAAAGTTAGATTGTGGTGATGGTTAAACAATTCTGAATATACTAAAACCCATTGCATTGTACGCTTTAAAAGGGTGAATTTTATGGTATGTGAATTATCTCAATAACACTGTTTTTTAAAAAAGGAAAACACGTATATTTAAACAGTCTTTAAAATTCAAGTCCTGGGTGGAGTCAGAATCTGGTAGAGCCTGGCTTGGAGTGCCTTGTGGGGCTCTGGAGACCCCGCCCGGCTGCTCCAAACGCCTTGGCTGCCCCGCCTTGTCTGGGCGCCAGAAGCTCCAGCTTGACCTTGTTTCACCGCTCCTCTAAAATGCACGTACTGGTGGGGACTGGAAAACCACACCTCGGTGAACATGTGGGGTCTGCCCGCCTGTGGGACCCTAAATAATTTGAGTTCCCGCCGAATTCAAAACTCACTGAGGCCCCGGCTTGGCGTAGTTGGCGGAGGGTCTGCGGGGCCGGGTCCTGTGTGATGGACGTGGAGGCTGCTTGGGGTTGTTGCGGCAGTTAAGAGAGTCTTAAAGTAAAACCGACATTTTAAAATTACTTTTGAAGATCATTCTCTTGACTCTAAAAATGTTACATGCTAATTGCAAAATGTTTAGAATGGTGTTTCTTAGTTTCTGCTTAATCACCAAGGCTTATTAGAAATGCAGGTTCCCAGCCCTGCCATAGACCTTGAACTAAGTTGGAGCCCAGGAATCTGCCTTTCTAAAAAAAACCCAGGTAGTTCATAGGCATGTTAAACTTTTACAACCACCTGCGTTGAATACACACAAAAAAACTATAAAGAAGAAAAAAAATTAAAACACTTGTAATTCCATCTCTTCAAGATTATCACCGTTTGGGCTAATTCCTTAGAGCAGTTTTCCCCCACTGTGTGTGTTTGTCTTTATGTGTTTTAACAAATTGAGTTTATATTGTATTTGTAGTTTGGTACCTGCTCCCCCGCTAATACCGTATCCTGAGCATTTTCCCATGTCATTAATATTCTCCAGAAACATCATAATTAAACATTTGATTTTCAGTCCATTTTACCCTCTATCATTTTCAAAGGCTTGCCCCAGGCCAGAACAGGGGCAGAGGGGAGCGGACCTCCTTGATTCTTGCTGGGCCCTGTTTTGTAGATTAGAAGTTCCAACTTGAGGGGATTTATTCCGACTTTCTTCTACACGTATGATCACTGGAAGGACGTAATTTTGGTGTCTCCTTAGTGTCATATGCAGATCATTTAATAGCCAACTTATAACTTATGGACTATTTTGTTTGGAATTTCCAGAAAATGTTCCATTTTTAGTTTTGCCATAAAGTGAATGTAGATGTTATAAACCACAGTCTTATCTGCATCTGGAGCAATTCTCTGCTGTTTGACATTAGGGTTGATAGGTCTGGCAGATTCCTAAATCTTATATAGTAAGTTGCTTTTTTGTATTTAACTTTAACTTAGATTACTAATCATTAAGGGGTAGTTGAAAAATATTTGAAACATCTTTCTTATTACATGTTTCATGTAAAATACTAACCTAAGGGTCTACAACTTAACAAGTGTCAACTACAAAGTGACTTCCTCTAAACAGTAACACTCATGATTATAAAGTTTATTAATCTAAATATACTTCAAGTTTTATATGACTATGTGCCAATCAGAAATAAACTTAGTTATCTGCAGAATACCTAAAAGCAATAATCCTAGATTCCCTAAGTCCAGATTATTCTGGTCTAGTCAGTTATGAATTTTTAAGAGAGAAACATGCAAGTCATTTCGTGTTCTTTTGCTGTGGCTAAACTTAAGGAGTGCTTCACTTGCAGAAAACATTAAAATGTCCTCCTCTTTCTTCTGTGACAGATGCCAGAGATGCAGAGCAGTTGAGCAAGAACCAGGTGACACACATTCTGTCTGTGCACGACAGCGCCAGGCCAGCACTGGAGGTGAGAGAACTGAGCTGCACGCGTGTCTGCACTGTGCTCCTTGGGTCCAGGGGGCACTGACGAAGCAGCCGTGTTCTCTGCAGCACCGCTGTGCCCCTGTGTCACCGGCTGTGTTAATCTTGCGCTCAGGCCACGTCTGTGCCTGGTCCGTGGCGTGGCGGGAGGACGCCTTCTCTTCCTGATCGTCCTTCTGTTACGCTGCTAGCTTGGCTTTCTTGGCTGAATGCCAAAGAACAAGCGATGCTGCATTTCCCTTTGGATCTTAAGGACATTTAGAACCTATTTTAATTCCTTTCAAAATTATCTCCCGTTTTAGAATCCAGAAGAATTCGGGCTGCTCATTTCCTGATTTTTTCTATTTAAGCTCAGTTATTTGCTAGGAAAAAAAGGCAATGGAGGATAAATTGTCCCTGGAGATTTTCCGGGGCTTCTCTGTGCAGACTGTCAGTGCAGAAGCTGTTGTCGTGTTTTAGGTTTTAAAGTAAACAGGGTGTGTCTGCCTCCACACTGATTGCAAAAGCATCTTCAGTTTTACCCTAATGGACGGTTTGAGCTGTTGGCTGGGAGCAAAATATATTTCTGTTTATTAGCCTTGCCAGAGCCCAAGCTACCTCTTTGTAGAAAATAATGCGAGTGTGGTTGTGATGTGTATGTTTTTCTATTTTAGGGTTGGGTATTGGAGAGGGAGGTGTGGCTTGTTCTGGAAGAAATAATCCTAGTTCAATCAGTTTACACTTAAATTCATATTATACGAGAGTAGGTAATATATTTTTATTTCAAATTTATCTATTTTACTTGGCCATTAGAGCTGCCAGATTTCAGTCAGTTTCAAATAAATGAGGATATAGAGTAATAAGTGACTCTACTGACATCACCATACAGAGGACGGTGGGATGTGAACAAACCTCTGTTCCTTTCTCCAGATTTTTGAGCTTGCACTTCCCTTTGTTGTTGTAGCTCATGGGTTTTGTTTAGGTGCTATAATTTGTTCTGCAGCATGATTTTATTGGAAACAACAACAACAAAACATCATTTTTCTGGAGCCTAACATTTCCCTTGAAAATAGCTACTCCATTTTTCATATATCAACAATAGTTTATATTAAACATATAGTCAAGCTATGGCCTGGATGATAAGTTAAACGTAACATGATTTACTTCCTCTTAAATCACAAGATGAGGCTTGAGGTTTCCTTTATTTTAATAAATTGCATAGATGTCCTCCCCACCCTTGCCCTCTAGGCTGCCTCGCACCCTTGTGCTCTGTTCGGCACAACACATTGTCAGGTAGGAACACGGCCCCGGAATCCGTCCACACTGTGGCTTCCATCCAGATACCAGGTCTTCAGGCTCACAGATCTTCCTCCATGCGGGAGTTCTGTGAGCCTTGCTGCCCTGCCCGACACTGGAGGTGCTTCTCTGATGGATGAGATCAGGTTTGCTTATCCTCTGAACCCTGGGGTGATGTGGCCAGTGGAGGGAAACAGGTCCGAGCCTCCAGGTACCAGATCTACTGCCTTTTCCCCATGGGACTGCTTTTATTTGGCAACATCCTGTTTCAGCCTTTGGGTGCTTTTATTACCTCTCTTGATAGTAAGTACTTTCCTGTGATTTCGTTTTATTAAGGGTTAGACCTTCGTTTTATAGCATGACATACTTTAACATTGCCCCTCTTACTTTATTCATTTTTAACTTCACAAGTAATTCATGAATATATTCTTAGTTTAAAAATTAAAACGATAGATTCTCTGATTGTACAAGTGGGGAAAACTGAGGCATCAAAAGTTATTTGATCGGGCATGCATGCCTTAAGTGATTGGGATCGAGGACGTTCGCCAGGGTCCCAGAAGTTCCGGACCTTTGTTTAGCCCTCTGCCTGATGCATAAAGGCAGTTGTCTCTCTTAAATTTCAAACTCAGTTCCAGAAGCCATAATTTCACCCAGCCTGAGATGAGTCAGGGAAGTTACTTGTTTGGAGTCGGTAGGGAATTAATGGACAGATTTTATGTTTCAGCAGCTCCATGTTTTGCCGGCCCTGATCCTTGGATGGAAGTAGGGCAGGAATGAGGTGAGAGGGCAGATGGTTTCAGGGCCCTGATAAAGGGTGGAGGGATAAGGGATAGGAGAGAAGGGAGCTGGCACCTCGTGCCCTTTCTGAGATCTTCAAAGCCATGCCTGTTTATAGAACAGGCTCTAACTTTCTCTGGGAAGCGCTGGGCTGGGCTGGGCTGGGCTGGAAGTGGGGAGGCAGTTACTATCCAAAATAGAAAAGGTTTCAGTCCCGTCACATCCATGCGGGAGTTCTCTGAGCCTTGCTGCCCTGCACGACGACACCGTAGGTGCTTCTCTGGTGGATGAAATCAGGTTTGCTTATCCTCTGAACGCTGTGGTGAGGTGGTCAGTGGAGGGGAAGAGGTCCAAGGCTCCAATTACTGTCTCTTCAGAAGAGTATCTGAGGGTTAGATCTTCCAGAATGAAGAGTCTTAGAGACTTTGCAGAAACTTAGGAACCTCATGCTCACTGAGTCAGCTCTAAACTAATATCTGAGATTTTGAGGAGCTCTGGCTCCATTTTTATGCCTACTGCTCTTTGTTTGACGTAGAAATCCCAGCTGAACAGGGTCCTAGAGATCACCTACCTGACTCTGTCACTGTGTGGACAGGAAGCTGAAGTTCAGAGACATGAAGGGACTCTCACAGTCCCACAGCTGTTTTAGATAGCTTGATGGAAACCTGGATCTTCTCTCCCAGGCCAGAGATTTTCCCAGAACGCTTCACTGCCTTGGTCCTCTTCTAGCATGACTGATGCTTCTGGCTTTGCTAGCAGTATTAGTAGATATTGACACATCAGCTTTGGAAAGATTGTACCATTTGTAGCCCCACTGGCAGTGTATCAAAATACCTATTTCCCCAAACCATCACCAGCACAGAGTTTTGCTCTTCTTTACTTTTAATTAGCAGTATTTTTGTTTTGTTTTATTTTCTGTGAATGCCTTCCTCACACTGTCGAGTCTTCTGTCCAGACAATTCTTCCGTTTGAAGGCAGGGAGTGGATGGTTTACTCTTGAGCTCCTGCTGCATGCAGGGCGCTGGGACAGGTGCTAGAGATAAAGTGAATGCCAGTGTCTGCCATGGTGAAGCCCTCAGTGAATAAACAAAATACACGCGGTAACTCTCTTATACATGTTACTAATAATTACCATCAGGCTCAGGGCAGGAACCACTCAGAGAACAAGGTTCCTCCTTTACCACATCAGTCTGGAGGCATTTGTGGTGCTGGGCTTTTGGCTGGGCCTTTGGAGACAACTGGGGATTTAGAAAATTTGGTTGGTACCACTCTGGCTGGTAGAGTACCAGGATATGCCTTCTGGTGGGGCCCTGACTCCATGGAATCACATCGGTCCTGCTCATCCCCCATGGATCCTGGGGACCCAGCCTGGAGGATAGCAGTGTCCTGGTTCCTTTGTAGCATAACCAGACCTGGCGGCCTGCCCACGTCACCTGCTAGCAGATGGCAGAGCCGGGGGAGAAATCATTGCCATGTAGATGAATTTCAAGTAGGAATTAAGCCGAAATCTGTAATTATAACATCTAAGGGGGAAAAAAATCCCTTCCTCCAATTCCACATTGAGGACTGGGTGGGGCAGTGGCCTGCGTTTGCTGAAAGTGTTTATTTATTTGTGGGCTGTGTTTTCAGTGCCTACTGGTTGCTCCAGATTTGAGGGATGGTGAAAACTCCTGTCACAAAGACAGTGCATTTTCAAATCAGAAACCCCGTGTTGTTTGTAGGTGCTGAGGAAGTAATATTGAGCAATGAAAGGTTTCTCCCTTCCTCTGAAAAAAGAACCAGAAGTCTATCTTTCTAATGTAAAAATTTCAGAGTTTGTTTCATTTTTCATGTTGGGTATTTAACCAGAGCACCTGCAGGAAACAACTATTTTTCACTATTAACAAAAATGCTTTAAAAAGTATTCTCATTCCTTCTCTGGGCTAATAACAGAAACAATTTAATTTTTAAATGATTTACATTTTAGGATTAAATAGAAAAAATTGTTTATATACATATATTCAAATCAGGGCATTGCATGCATGATACCACATAGATTTTCTGAGCTTGAGTTTGGCTTGGATATTCTTCCCATTTTAAATTGTGACTTTCGCATTTTGAACCATTTAAGTGTTTGTTTTTGTTTTCAAGAATAGGGTGTTTTCATAGGCCAGCATTTATTCTTGGTGATTCTGTTTTATATTTCCTTTAACACAAAAGACATTTTCTTGAGGCATCCAGACTCAGAATTTAATTTTGTTCGTGTTCTTTGTAGTTGTGACCACTTCTCCTGGTTCTGATACTTACTGTTATTTATGTGTCTGTACATATAGGTGTGTATCTCCAAGAGATGCCCAGTCTGCTTGGACAGTGGTGCTGAGAGCCTGAGGGGCTCCTGTAGGGACCTTGTTCCCCTGCTGCATTTCTGTCTGGTGACCCACCCCGTTTCTCACCCTCAAAATTTTTGTTGGCTTCCTAAATGTAAAACAAGCCCAGTCCAAGGTGTGAAATGGCATTTGAAGTTTAAGAAACTGTGCTTCTGTGTCCACTTCTTTCTTCCACCCTTCTTTTGCCCACCCAAGTCCTACCCTCCCTCAGACCTTGGCCCAGCTCCTTTTCTGAGAAGGACACTCCCAGTGACCTCCAACCTCAGGAATTCTTCCCTTTTTCCTATAATACTTAGAGTTTGCACTCTTTGTTGGGCCCTGAATTGTGCGTGCTCTGTGACAGACCCTGCAGGCCATCAAATGGCCGTCTGACCTCCGTCTGACGGTCTAGCTCCTCAGCTGGTCTCAGGCCACTGCGGGCAGTGGGTTTCTGCCGTGTTGGACTTCCTGGTCTCCCCACCACTCAGCCTGGATCTGGTTCTGCAGATGCTTGCTGGCACACTCAGAGCCGAGTGCATTTAAGCTCCACTCCCAAGTGAGAAGCCATGTCTTCGGTTGTTTGTGGCTG